TGAATCCGCACACCTGATTTCTGATTGGTTCGGCTCAGACGGTTCCCCAAAACAAGGTTGGGAAGAGTGGGAAAGCGCACACTCCCTTTCTACGCAACTCTTTCCCCTCTAAGCATCAATGTCTTATTTCTCCACAGTCCCCATCATTTCTAATTATTATTACCAATAATGAAGAATTCTGGAAAATGTAGTTCAGGCATCCTCAAACTGCGGCCCTCCACTGTTTGGGCATGATCATCAAGTTTGCAGACAGGACCAAATGGGGAAGGATTGCTAATATTCCAGAAGACAGGAGCAGAATTCAAAATGATCTTCACAGATCTATATAAATAAACATGTAATGTTCGTTTGTGGGATTAACAGAACTCAAAAACCACTGGATGAATTGACACCAAATTTGGACACAAGACACCTAACAACCCAATGTATGTCCTTCACTCAAGAAAAATATATGATTTTGTCATTTGGGAGTTGTAGTTTCTGGGATTTATAGTTCACCTACAATCAAAGAACATTCTGATCCCCACCAACGATGGAATTGGACCAAACTTGGCACACAGTTCTCCCATACCAAGAGAAAATACTGGAAGGGTTTGGTGGGCAGTGTCCTTTGGTTTTGGAGTTGTAGTTCACCTACATCCAGAGATTACTGTGGACTCAAACCATAATGGATCTGGACCAAACTCTACAAGAATACTTAATATGCCCAAATGCGAACACTGGTGGAGTTTGGGGAAAATAGAATCTTGACATTTGGGAGTTGTAGTTGCTGGGTTTTATAGTTCACCTACAATCACAGAGCATTCTGAACCTCACCAGTGATAGAATTGGGCCAAACCTCCCACACAGAATCCCCATGTGGGCTACAGCAACGCATGGCCGGGGACGGCTAGTTAATAATAAATAAATAAATAAAGCTATATAAATAAAAATGTAATGTTAGTTTGTGGGATTAACATAACTGAAAAACCCCTGGACAAATTGACACTACACCCTTAACAGAGAAACGAGTGACCATCACTCAGAACCCTCCTCCCCCCAAAAAAAACACCGGAAAGGACTTAAAAACCCCAAAAAGCTAAATGATGATACAGAAAAAAAGGGAAGGAAGAGGGAGGGAAGGAAAGGGAGAAAGAAAGAAAGAAAGAAAGAAAGAAAGAAAGAAAGAAAGAAAGAAAGAAGGAAAGAGAGAAGGAAGAATAGAAGCAAGGAGCAAAAGAAGGAAGGAAAGAGGTAGAGAAGGAAGGAAGGAGAAAGGAAAAAAGGGGAGGAAAGAGGGAGCGAAGGAAGGAGGGAAAGAAGGAGAGAAAGAGGGAGGGAAGGAAAGAAGGAAAAAGAGAAGGAAGGATGGAAGCAAAAAGTGAAAGTATTGCAAAAGTATTGTGCTTATTGTCGGGACACCTGGGGGAGACATGAGCGGCTGTCAGAGGGGTCGCCAAAGACCATCAGAAAAAAAGCCCAGTATTTTCTGTTGGTCATGGGGATTCTGTGTGGGAAGTTTGGCCCAATTCTATCATTGGCGGGGTCCAGAATGCTCTTTGATTGTAGTTGAACTATAAATCCCAGCAACTACAATTTCCAAATGTCAAGTTTATTTTCCCCAAACTCCACCAATGATCACATTTGGGCATATTGAGTATTTGTGCCAAGTTTGGTCCAGATCCATCATTGTTTGGGCCCACAATGCTCTCTGGATGTAAGTGAACTACAACTCCAAAACTCAAGGTCAATGCCCACCAAATCCTTCGAGTATTTTCTGTTGGTCTTGGGAGTTCTGTGTGCCAAGATGGGTTCAGTTCCATAGTTGGTAGAGTCCAGAATGCTCTTTGATTGTAGGTTGACTGTAAGTCCTGGCAACTACAACTCCCAAATGACAAAATCTATCCCACCCCCAACCCTACCAATGTTCAAATTTGAGCGTATTGGGTATTTGTGCCAAAATTGGTCCAGTGAATGAAAATACATCCTGCATATCAGATATTTACATTACGATTCATAACAGTAGCAAAATGACAGTTATGAAGTAGCGACAAATATAATATTATGGTTGGGGGTCACCACAACATGCGGAACTGTATTAAGGGGTCGTGACATTAGGAAGATTGAGAAATGCTGCTCTAGAGTCCTCAAAAGATACGAGATGATGTTTTCATGATTGTGGTTTGGGACCCAGTTTTCGAGAAAGGAACCCCTGTAGAGCCGTGCGCCTGGCTTTCCTGTCAGATTTGTAAGAATTCATATTTATGCTGTTGCGCAGAGACGGGAAGGTTATGAATGCATGTCTGCCGGCCAAAGTCCCAGAGGTCCTTGTAGACTCAAACCCCCATCGGGTCAAATGTCAGTGCGCTGGTTACTGGAGCTGCGCGTTGACAGGAGATGAAGTGCCGAGGCTGGTTGGGGGCAGCGAGATCGCGAAGACACAGCTTCTGCCGCGAGGATGATTGCAAATGATGGATGTCTTATGATCCAGGGTTCTTGGCGGAGGGGGGCGGGAGGGGGGGAGAAGAGGCGGGAGGTCAGAGCGCTGGGCCTTGTACTGTAACGCTGCGCTTTGTTCCACTGAGCAGAGCGGCATTGGTCTCTGTCGGATTAAACGGCGCATTGGCCTGTTCCACTTTGGCAGTCCTTGTCTTCCCTTGAGACTGATAAGAGCTGAGAGGAGGGAAGACATGTAATCCTTGCCTTGCTGGGCTGCGGGGCTTCTCCTGCGGGAAGGCAGCTGGTGTGATCTCTGCGTAATGCTTTGGTTGTCTGTTCAAAACAGCCCTCCTTCCACATTGGCCTGATCTTCCAGCCTCGCATGCTGTCTTCCTCTTGGTCTCACTTCCATTCTGATAAGTTTTCAGAATAAAAAGAAATGCTTTGTATCATTTGCTTTACATCTCTGGCTTATGAAGTTGGCTCCAAATACTTTAATTGCTTGATAACTCAGGGAACTTGATAATAGAGCAGAACTGGAAGGGCCCACAAGGTGTTTCACCCAGTAATTTATTTTATTGCAATTTGTATCTCATTGTATTGTAATTTGTTGTTCGGGCTTGGCTTCATGTAAGCGGCTCCGAGTCCCCGTTGGGGAGATGGTGGCGGGGTATAAACAAAGTTTATTATTATTATCTACTAGCCGTCCCCTGCCACGCGTTGATGTGGCCCACATGGGGGTTCTGTGTGGGAGGTTTAGCCCAATTCTATCGTTGGTGAGGTTCAGAATGCTCTGTGTTTGAAGGTGAACTATAAATCCCAGCAACTACAACTCCCAAATGTCAAGATTCTATTTTCCCTAAACTCCACCAGTGTTCACATTTGGCCTTTTTGAGTATTCATTCCAAGTTTGGTCCAGATCCATCATTGCTTGAGTCCACAGTGATTTCAGGATGTAGGTGAACTACAACTCCAAAACCAAAGGACAGTGCCCACCAAACCCTTCCAGTATTTTCTGTTGTTCATGGGAGAACTGTGTGCCAAGTTTGGTTCAATTCCATCATTGGTAGGGTTCAGAATGTTATTTGATTGTAGGTGAACTATAAATCCCAGCAACTACAACTCCCAAATGACAAAATCATTTTTTTTYAGCGAAGGACATACATTGGYTTGTTAGGTGTCTTGTGTCCAAATTTGGTGTCAATTCCCCCAATGGTTTTTGAGTTCTGTTAATCCCACAAACAAACATTACATTTTTATTTATATAGATCTATATATATATAAATGCTCTGTGCATAATGAGTACCTTAAAAACAAAAGAACCAATGAACAAAATCACACCAAATTTGAGCCTCACCACTCAAGGAGTGACCATCACTCAAAAAATTAAGATTTTGTCATTTGGGAGTTGGTGTGAATGTTTCAACTGACCACCTTGGTTAGCATTTGATTTGCCATCTGCTCCCAAAAAGGAAGAGAAGGACAAGTGAGAGATCTTCAGCCTTCTCTGCCAAAGGAGTTTCTAAGACCATCAGAAGTATATGTTTTCTGATGGTCTTTGGTGACCCCTATGAAACCCCCTCATGACCACCCCCCCCCCTGGCATCCTGACCCCCAGGTTGAAAAACATTGGTTTAGGGCTCTTTAGGCTAAAGCCAGCACTTTGAATTGTGTTTGGTAGCAGACGGGCAGCCAATGGAGGTGACATAACTGGGTAGTTATATGCAGGGCTGTAGCCGGGGGTGGGGGCTGTTTAGGAGTTCCACCCTGAAAATTTTCAGTTTAAAAAAACCTGTTTTACTCATGAATTTTAACTGGTTAACCAAATCCCCATGCTATTTATTTGTTGTGTCAGGGCAACCAGTCAATTATATTACATTTCTAACAGAACAAAGCAAACAAACAGACAAAATACAAATTTTGTGAGTTTGGTAGTTGATTAAATGATTAAATGGTAGTTGATTAAATCCCCATGCTGAGTCTATGAGAAGCGAAAATTAAATTGATTTAATTAAGTCTATATAAAATATAGAATGAAGGATACTATTTAAATTATTTTGTGTTATAGGACTACTCTTCATGATTCGCTAAAAGTTTTTATCACCCCCCCACCCCAATTTTTTTTTCTGTAGTAGTAGTAGTAGTAGTTGTAGTAGATTTTTTTTTCAGTAGTCAGAATTTTTTTCTGGCAACAAAGCTGGCTGTATGTTCCCTGTATGCTGCTCCAGTGAAAAATCTGGCTGCTGCCTGTTGGACCATTTGAAGCTTCTGAACAATTTTCAAAGGCAACCCCATTTATTTATTTATTTATTTAAAACTTTTTTATCCTGATCTTCTCGACCTCCGTGGAGGGACTCTGACCGACTTAGAGCGTGTTGCACTAGTCTAGTCGAGATGTGACAATCAAAAGAAGAAAATGGAAAACTATAGTGTCAAGACATCTTCTTCCTTGGGATGATGTGCAATTTATACATTGAACCAAGTGTTGTTGTTGTTCATTTGTTCAGTTGTTTCCGACTCTTCGTGACTTCATGGAACCGAGTAGACATATTGAATAGTTGTTTTCTCCCCTCGTGCCATAGGCCTCTTATTGCCAAAAAGAACCCCAAGATCCCGATGTCCAAAATGATGACCATCATGGGAGCCAAATGGCGGGAATTCAGTGCCAACAACCCCTTCAAAGGGTCGACAGCAGCTGTGGCTGCTGCTGCCGCCGCTGCCGCTGCTGCAGTAGCTGAACAAGTGTCGGCTGCAGTGGCAGCGGTCACCGCTTCACCTGAGCCACTGCAACCTTCACCTCTGCTGCAAACGCCTTCGCAGCCTCTTCCGATCCGCAAAGCCAAAACCAAAGAAGGCAAAGGTAAGTGCCAGGAATCACCAAGCTTTTCTAAAGTAAATAGTGGGGCCACAGGTGTATGTTGAAGAGAACTTCTGTGGTTTGAGTAATCCAGTTTCTCTTTGCTGTAGAAGCCAGGTCCATCTCTATTGTTAAAAAAAACTGCCGCTTCATGGGGGGAGAGTGTGTGTGCATCCATGCACACACAGAAAAACACACCCTAACAGTTGCATTTCCTTGAGAAGGAAGTAGAGCCTTTGGTCAGTCCAGCCAAGGTCAGCCAGTGGCAGCACTTCTTTAGGTTCAGCACCTTGGAGAGTTCTTTTGCAATTCAACAAAAACCAGTAATGGGCTCTATTGCTCCATGGAAACCACCAGCCACTACTGAAGCTAGGAGTCAGGGTTTATTTATTTATTTATTTTAAACATTTATATTCTGCCCTTCTCACGCCGCAGGGGACTCAGGACAGAACACAATATATATTCAGCAAATGTATGTATTTGTTTATTTACTGCATTTGAATGCCGCACTTTCTCAGCCAAAGGCGACTCAAGGCGGTTCGCAGTCGGAAGCGATTCGATGCCATAACAAATATCAAAATACAGTTAAAACAAATATAAAAACAATTCAGCATTTAAAATGTAATATGAAAAGCAAATATATCTGTAAAAACAAGATCCTCGGCGTCTCCTTACTAAAATCGTTGTCCAGTTGCATTTTCAGTCATTCCATATATTCATTTACGTCTAATTGTGCTCCAGTAGGAAAAGCTTGCTCGAAGAGCCAGGTCTTAATCATTTTGCAGAATGTTAGAAGGGAGGGACTCGATCTTATATCCCTGGGGAGGGCGTTCCATAGCTGAGGGGCCACCACTGAGAAGGCCCTGTCTCTCGTCCCCGCTAAACACATCTGCGAGGAAGGTGGGATCAAGAGCAGGGCCTTCCCAGATGGTCTTAAAGTTCTAGGTGGTTCATAAGGAGAGATACATTCAGATAGGTAAGCTGGATTGGAAAATTCAATGTCGGGATATAAAACCATAAATATATACAAACATTAAAATCATTTATATCAACATTAAAATCAGTTGCTTAATAACCATCTCAGGTCACCATTTTGCCTCATTGCCCTGCCCCAAAGGCTTGGTCCCACAGCCAGGTCTTCACTATCCTTCTGAAGGGCAAGAGGGAGGGGGCTGATCTAATGTTGCCAGGAAGGGAGTTCCATAAACGGGGGGCAATCACTGAGAAGGCCCTGTCTCTCATCCCCGCCAAATGCATCTGTAATGGTGGCAGGACTGAGAGCAGGGCCTCCCCAGAAGGTCTTGGTTTCCGGAGTGGCTCATAAAACTATTAATACTGTTTTTTACTTTTAATGAATGTTTTAATTATTGTTTTAATTGTTATTATATTGCTGTGTTATACGTAGTGGCATCAAATTGCTGCCAAATGTTAGCCGTCCTGAGTCCCCCTTCAGGGGTTGAGAAGGAACGGGATAGAAATACCGGAAATCTATATAAATAAAAATGTCATGTTTGTTTGTGGGATGAACATAACTCAAAAACCACTGGACAAATTGACACTAAATTTGGACACTACACCCCTAACAGACCAACGAGTGACCATCACTCAAACCCCCCCCCCCAAAAAAAAAACCAGTGGAAAGGACTTAAAAACCCAAAAGGTAAATGATAATACAGAAAAAAGGGAAGAAAGAGGGAGGAAAGGGGAGAAAGAAAGAAAGAAAGAAAGAAAGAAAGAAAGAAAGAAAGAAAGAAAGAAAGAAAAGGAAAGAAAAGAAAGGAAAGAAAGAAAGAAAGAGGGGGGAAGGGAGGAAGGGAAAGAAAAGATGGAAGCAGAAAAGAGGAAGGAAGGAAAGAGGAAGAGAAGGAAGAAAGGAGAGAAAGGGAAGGAAAAGAAAAGGGGGAGAAGGAAAGATAGAGAAGGAAGGAAGGAGAGAAGGAAAGAAAGAAGGAAGGAAGGAAAGATGGAGTGAAGGAAGGAGGGAAAGGAGGAGAGAAAGAGGGAGGGAATGAAAGAAGGAAAGAGAAGGAAGGATGGAAGCAAAAAGTGAAGGAAGGAAAGAAAGAGGTAAACAAGGAAGAAAGGAAAGAAAGAAGAAGGAAAAGAAAAGGGGAAGGAAGGAAAGAGATAGAGAAGGAAGGAAGGAAAGAGGAAGGAAGAAGGAGGGAAAGGAGGAGAGAAAGAGGGAGGGAACAAAAGAAGGAAAGAGAGAAGGAAGGATGGAAGCAAAAAGTGAAGGAAGGAAGGAAGGAAAGAGGGAGCGAAGGAAGGAGGGAAAGAAGGAGAGAAAGAGGGAAGGTTGGCCAAAGCAACGCGTGGCAGGTACAGCTAGTAATAATAATAAAGGAGGATGCGTTTGGACAGGTAAACTGGGCCAGGGCCATTTAGTGCTATATCAGCCAGAGCCAGCACTTTGAATTGTGCCCAGAAGCAAACAGGCAGCCAGTGGAGCTGACATAACATAGGAATTCTGTGCTCCCTGTACGATGCCCCAGTTATTAACCTGGCTGCCTCTCGTTGGACTATTTCAAAAGCAACCCCATGTAGAACGCGTTGCAGTAGTCCGTCCTGGATGTAACGAGAGCATGGATAATAATAATAATAATAATAATAATAATAATAATAATAATAATGTATTGTCAAAGGCTTTCATGGCTGGAATCACTAGGTTCTTGTGGGTTTTTTCGGGCTATATGGCCATGTTCTAGAGGCATTTCTCCTGACGTTTCGCCTGCATCTATGGCAGGCATCCTCAGAGGTGAGGTCTGTTGGAACTGGGAAAAGGGCCAGGAGAAATGCCTCTAGAACATGGCCATATAGCCCGAAAAAACCCACAAGAACTTAATAATAATAATAATAATAATAATAATAATAATAATAAACCTTTATTTATACCCAGCTACCATCTCCCGCAGGACTCGGTGCGGCTTACAAAAGGCCGAGCCCAAATACATCATAAAAAACATAACAACAACAATACAACAATAAATAACTCATAACAAAGCAAAAAACAGTACAATAATGACACGACGCATTTAAAAACCTGTGGCAGGGCCAAGTGCAAGGGTTAAAATTAAAAATGCAGAGCATGTCCAAGGGAAATAGGATGGATATTTTAGGATAGGTGGATGTCAGACAATTCTAAGTCTCTCATAAAGTGCATTTGGGACATATTGCTTAGGATTCCTTATTCTGGGAAGGCATACTGGAACATTCACGTTTTCAAGCTCCTTCTAAAGACTGCTAATGTTGGGGATTGCCTGATGTCCTTGGGGAGGGAATTCCAGAGTCGTGGGGCCATCACCGAAAAGGCCCTGTCCCTCATCCCCACCAGTCGCACTTGCGATGCAGGTGGGATCGTGAGCAGGGCCTCTCCAGATCACTGTGGCTAAGTCTAGGTTTGGGATTGTATTGCCTTGGAGCTGGGCTCTCATTTTTTCCTGAGAATGCAGGATTGTATAGTACGTTAAGGCCTTGGAATTCTGCACCCAAGGTAGATCTTGACTCCCAGATTTCCATACAACATTCCTTTCTTCTCTGGAACTGAGAAGTACCAGCTTTTAGTCCTTTTGAAATCAACCCTCTCTCTAAGAATGGCTTGGTGTGGATTGGAGCGAAAGAGAATAGCAGCCCGTACACTTGCGACCTTGGCATTTGGTAGAACTAGCCTGACTCCAGGGATCTCTTGCCAAGTTTCACCATCTGCTTGGGGCTTTGTGGTTTCACGGAAGCACACACTTTTCTTTCAAATGAGGGGCAAAGCATAGCAAACGTCCCTTAATTTTTTTCTCCCAAAAGGTCCAGGCCACAAGAAGCGGAGCAAGAGCCCTCGCGTGCCAGAGGTGAAAAGGAAGATGAAGGGCAAGAAGATGGCGCCACTAAAGATCAAGCTGGGCATGATTGGGGGCAAGCGCAAGAAGAGCAGCTCAGTAAGGTCCATTCCTTGCCGATGGTGGTGGTGGTGGTGTGTGAATGTTGCTGCTGGGTTGGATGTCAGAAAGAGCTTGATGGCTGTAGAAGCAAGCAGGATAAAAGGACACAATGCAATTATTTTWAAAATGTGGGGTTTTTTCTTAATTCATATCAGGAGCATCTTTAGAACTGCAAGTCTCTTCTGGTGTGAGAGAATTGGCTGTCTGCAAGGACGTTGCCCAGGGGACGCCCGGATGTTTGAAGTTTTACCATCCTGTGGGAGGCTTCTCTCATGTCCCCATATGGGAAGCTAGAGCTSAGATGGGAGCTCACCCCARTCCCCAGATTTGAAACGCAACCCTGTTGGTTTTCAGTCATGCTGGCACAATGTTTTAACATATTGTGCKACCAGAGGCTCCTCAAAAATGTGTTAAAACAATTTTTTATTTATTGGTCGAGTCAGGGCAACCAGTCAATTGTATTACATTTCTAACAGAACAAAACAAACAAACAGACAAAATACAAAATRTGCGAGTTTGGTAGTTAATTTAATGTCCTTTGACCAGTATCTGGCTACTTGGAGTGCTTCTGGTGTTGCTTGTTAAAACAATAATAAATAATAATAAACTTTATTTATACCCCTCCACCATCTCCCCAAAGGGGACTCGGGGCGGCTTATATGAGGCCAAGCCCGGTAATACATTACAGCAAAATAAATACAGAACGACAAAAATAACATCACAATAAAATAAGTAAAACATAAAACTAAATAAATAAAGTGCAAAGTAACAAAATGGGCGGGCCAAATGTACGACATGAAATGATAAAACTCTGGATGTGATAAAAATAAAAAAGATATATTTGTATGGGAGGAGCTCGCAGGGGATGGAATAGTGGAAACAGGTGTTCAGAAAGGTGGTGGGAAGTTCAATATGAGGACAACAGTATGGGAAGAACAACAAGAAAGAAGTATATGGTCACTCTCCAAAGGCACAACGGAAAAGCTAAGTTTTTAGATCCTTCTTGAAGGCTGCTAGGGTGGGGGGTTGCCTCATCTCACCAGTTCTGAAACAACCACTTCTATTTATCTCCTGCATATGAGTTTGATTTGCATCCCTTTGGTTATTTTGCATTTTTTAAAATTTCTGATTAGTCACGGGGGACAGGTCAAGACTTGACCTCTGACAGTCTGTCCCTCATTGTAAATGACACCAGGCATTGCATTCCTGGCACATGCTGTTCAGCTTGCCTTTGCTGCTTTCAAGACTTCTGTAGCTATGAGATTTTTCTTACGAACCGTGGTGACGTGTGAGAGGCTTACATGGTGTGTGCTTTTTCTCTTATAACATCATACCTATTTTCATCTTCCCTTGTAACATCAAATTGTATGTCTTTAAGTAACAATTTCACCATGTATTCCAAAATCAAATACTCCCGACCCATATCTGAGCTGGCTGGATTGTAAGCTGTCTCCCTTTTTCTTTTCCTGCATATTTTTGGGAGCAGATACTAACCTTTAAATCAGTGGTTCTCAACCTGGGGGTCGGGACCCCTGGGGGGGGGGTCACGAGGGAGTTTCAGAGGGGTCGCCAAAGACCACCCAAAAACATAGTATTTTCTGTTGGTCATAGGGGTTCCATGTGGGAAGTTTGGCCCAATTCTATCATTGATGGGGATCAGAATGATCTTTTATTGTAGGTGAACTATAAATCCCAGCAACTAAAACTCTCAAATGCCAAGGTCTATTTTTCCCAAGCTCCACCAGTGTTCATTCACATTGGGCATGTTGCGTATTCATGGCAAGTTTGGTCCAGATCCATCATTGTGTGAGTCCATAGTACAAATGGACTCCCCCCACTTTCTGGCACCAACGGCTGCTCTGACCAGAGCGAAGACAGAAGGGAGCAGAAGACACTTCCATCTTGTCTTTACTAATAATATAATATAGTATATTGTATATACATATAATATTTATAATATCATAATGTAATACAATATAATACTAATAATAATAATTCAATATTATAATTATAATTATATATTTACATTACATGTAATATTACTAATAATATTACAATATAACGGTATAGTTCAATATAGTAATATATACTGATATTGTAAGGTAAAGGTAAAGGTAGTCCCCTGACATTAAGTCCAGTCATGTTTGACTCTGGGGTGTGGTGCTCATCTCCATTTCTAAGCTGAAGAGCCAGTGTTGTCCGTAAACACCTCCAAGGTCATGTGGCCGGCATGACTGCATGGAGCGCTGTTACTGATATTGTACTATGCTAATAATATAATATATTGTATGAAAATATATATTGTAAGTCGCTCTGAGTCCCCTTCGGGGTGAGAAGGGCGGCATATAAATGCCGTAAATAAATAAATAAATAAATAAATAAATAGTGCTCTCTGGATGTAGGTGAACTACAACTCCAAACCTCAAGGTCAATGCCCACCAAACCCTTCCAGTATTTTCTGTTGGTCAAGGGAGTTCTGTGTAGCAAGATTGGTTCAATTCCATTGTTGGAGTTCATAATGCTCTTTGATTGTAGGTAAACTATAAATCCCAGCAACTACAACTCCCAAATGACAACATTAATCCCCTGCCAACCCCCACCAGTATTCAAATCGGGGCATATCACGTATTTGTGCCAAATTTGGTCCAGTGAATGAAAATCCATCTTGCATATCAGATATTTACATTGCGATTCATAACAGTTATGAAGTAGCAACGAAAATAATGTTATGGTTGGGGGTCAGCACAACATGAGGAACTGTATTAAGGGGTCGCAGCATTAGAAAGGTTGAGAACCACTTCTTTAAATGATTTGGCCCCATCCCTGTCTGCAGTCCTTTTTTTTCCTCCAACTGTTTCCCCTCATTTCTGCCTCTCTTTGGGCCTTTCCTAATGGAGGGCCGCTCCGGTTATGTGCAGCATTTATTTCAGAGCGATGAGGTGGCAGAGCCAGAAGAAGAGTCGGACCCCGACAACTCCAGCGTCCACAGCTCCTCGGTGCGTTCAGACAGTTCAGGCAGGGTCAAGAAAGCCAAGCGGGGTAGGCCTGGGCGGAAGAAGAAAAAAGGTGAGCGTTGGCTGCGGATTGAGTGGGCAACCGGGCACCTTTCCCAATGTAGTCCACCCTAGGGATGCATATCATTTGCGATTCAGGAGAAAATGCCTCTAGAACATGGCCATATAGCCCGAAAAAACCTACAACAACCCAGAAATTGATATTCTTCACAGTATTCTTTCAGCCTTTGAAAGATCCCACAAGTCACTGGTTTGCAACCTGTGAGTCCCCAAATGTTTTGGTCTTCAAGTACTCGGGAGACTTATTATTAATTGGCAATTAGTTTCTGTTTTATTTATTTATTTATTTATTTATTTATTTATTTATTTATTTACAGCTTTTATATTCCGCCCTTTTCACCCCGCTGGGGACTCAGGGCGGATTACAGTGTACACATATATGGCAAACATTCAATGCCAATTTTTGACATACAAACATATACAAACATACACAGAAGCTATTTAACTTTTTTCTGGCCGCCAGGGGAGCTGTCGCTTTCATCATCCATCTGCGACACTGATGAAGCACTTCCGCATTCCCCGCATGCTTCCCCGCTGGAATGCTCTGCTGGAGTCTTCTTTATGGCCCCATAAATCAGTTAATTTAGCCTCCCCACACTTTAAGATTGTACCTAATCTTCCTACTTGACAGATGCAACTGTCTTTCAGGTTGCAAAGGTCAACAACAGGCTACACATAATGGGTTGGAAACCCACTCCAACCTGGGCTGGCTTCGAACTCATGACCTTTTTGGTCAGAGTATTCTTAATGCAGCTGACACTCAGCCAGCTGCGCCACAATCCCGGTGATTATAAAGACAGTCATTCAACCGATACCGAATGGTGATACTTGTTTTCATTAAACATAAGCCAAATGTGATGTTATTAATTATTAATTAATGTTATTAATTACTTAAATGTTGTATTTCATCATTCTACTTTCACTTGACTTATTCGATAGTTTGTTGACCGAAATAAAGGCTACTGGCTGACTGACTGACCAGAGTTTACTTTTTAGTTCTTATTAGCAACTTTTAATTACAGTCCAGCAAGCAGGTAGTTAGTCATTACAAGCCTTAATATTATACTGGTGTCTCCAAAATTATTAACTCCATCCATACATTCTTCCATAAACATCATCTTAAATCCACATTTATCAAATCTGCACATTGAATTTCTTGGGACAGTCTGAAAAACTGAAATGCCGCCGCATGCCTGTGACTCTGTCTTTGGTTGGTGCCCTCATGCTGCTGTGCTTTCTCCTTCCCTCCCGGCCCGGCAGTTGCTGGCGAGGAAGAGGCGGACGGCTACGAGACCGACCACCAGGACTACTGCGAGGTGTGTCAGCAGGGCGGGGAGATCATCCTCTGCGACTCCTGTCCCAGAGCTTACCACCTGGTGTGCCTGGACCCGGAGCTAGACAAGGCCCCTGAGGGAAAGTGGAGCTGCCCCCACTGTGTAAGCTGCTCACCTTTCTTCTTTGTTCTCTGCACACTAGCACCTCCCGCCCCCCTGCTTCCCCCATTTCCAAGGAAGGAGCCTGCCTGCTTGGAGCCTCTGCTTTGGTTTAGGGTGCGCTTCCTCTTCCAGCTTAGGAGCCCAGAATTCTGACCTCTCAGAAGGAAATCTAGCTCCAAAACACTGTGATTAGTAAAATTATCCTTTTTTTCTTTGGGTCTTTGGGTGAATTATAATGGGGTAAAATCACAGATTACTATTCAAAGAACCACAGCCTGTTCTTCTTCTGTAGTATCTGCGAATCACACAATTGGGTTTTGTGATCAATCGTGTGAATTCATATGAGGGGTATTTTTTAAGTAAGGTCCGTTTTGTTGTAGACACTAGTAGTTCGCGTGCATACTGCAACGAGCGCGTGCGTTGTGTACCGGCATGCCTGGGGAACAACTGTGCTCAGTTTCCGCTCTGTAGCTCACCTGTACGGTTCTGTTCTGTGCTTTAAAAATGTTTAAGACTATCAACTCACCCTCCGCATGTGAGGTTCGCTCAGTGATACGGTTTTTGTCAGCAAGGAACCTGCCTGCTGCAGAAATTCATCGACAGATTTGTGAAGTGTACGGTGATACTGTTAGTGAAAGCAAAGTGCGTAAGTGGGTACGACAATTCAAAGATGGCCGTGACAACGTCCATTATGAGGACCGCTCCGGTTGCCCTTCTTTGATTACAGACGATTTGGTGGCTTCAGTTGAAGCGAGGAATTGTGAGAACAGGCGCTTCACAATAACAGGTCTCTCAAACGAATTTCCTGACATGTTGAGATCAGTGCTTTACAACATTGTTTCTGAACACCTAAAGTTTAGGAAACTGTGCTTCCGTTGGCTCCCGAAACTCCTAACAGAGGACCACAAAAACCAAAGATTTGAGTGTGCGATCATATCAAATCGTCTGTAATCAAAGAAGGGCGACCGGAGCGGTCCTCATCATGGACGTTGTCACGGCCATCTTTGAATTGTCGTACCCACTTACACACTTTGCTTTCACTCATAACAGTATCACCGTACACTTCACAAACCTGTCGATGAATTTCTGCAGCAGGCTGGTTCCTTGCTGACAAAAACCGTATCACTGAGCGAACCTCACATGCGGCGGGTGAGTTGATAGTCTTAAACATTTTAAAGCACAGAGCAGAACCGTACAGGTGAGCTACAGAGCGGAAACTGAGCACAGTTGTTCCCGAGGCATGCCGGTACATGACGCACGTGCTCGTTGCGGTATGCACACGAACTACTAGTGTCTACAACAAAACAGACCTTACTTAAAAAATACCCCTCGTAGATGGCCACTTTAGAGACCCACAATGACGTATGCAACTTGTTAAGCTATTAAGGTATTATGTATTTATTTATGACATTTATATGCCGCCCTTCTCACCCTGAAAGGGATTCAGAGCGGCTTACAAGTTATATGTACATACAATATATTATGTTATAAGCATAGCACAATATTAGTATTATATATTACTATATTGTACTATACCACTATACTTTAATATTATTAGTAATATTACATGTAATATGAAACATAAAATCATTATATTTTATTATTACTAATATTATATTGTATTATTATTAGTTTTATATTGTATTACATCATAATATTAACAATATCATATGTGTATACAATGCATGATATATACATGATGATACTTGCTCTGCAAGTGGAATAAATCAAACCCCTCCCTCCCAAAACCATGTGATTCAGGCTAAAAAAGCCAATGTCTGTGTGTCCCTTGTGTGGGTTGGGGACGGTGGAAAAGGAGGGGCCTCGGGGGGTGCTGTGTGCAAAGGGACAAGGAGGCAAGGGCGTAGAGAAAAGACCCTGAGATGCCCTGTGGTTTCCAAATTTTAATCCAGTCCTCACCATATTTTTGTACCACAGTAACTTAACCTCAGAGACTAAGATCGTCTGGGGAGGCCCTGCTCTCAATTTCACTATCCTTGCGAATGCGACTGGTGGGGACAAGAAGCAGGGCCTTCTCGGTGGTGGCCCCTCGGAACTCCTTCCCTAGTGAAATTAGAGCAGCCCCCTCTCTCCTGACATTCAGGAAGAAAGTACAAATGTAGTTATGTAACCAAGCTTTCGGACAGCAAAGCTTGTGGTGCAATAAGATAATCAGGAATAGTGAACGGACCAGCGAAATGACTACGGACTTGATTTTGGATGGCATGATTTTAATAACTGTTTTTAAATCGTGTTGTTTATTCGTGGGTTTTAATATAAATGTTATTGTATTATTGGTGTTTAATTTTTTATGCTTTATGTGAAAATGTTACTTGGTGTTTATGTTTTGATGTGGTCACGTTAATTTATCGTTATATGTGATTGTCTTGCTATTATCTTTTGGTTTTTCCCGTCTATGTATGGAACTGAATTATAATGTTGCGAGCCACTTTTAGTTCCCTTAGGGCAGTGTTTCTCAACCTGGGGGTCAGGACCCCTGGGGGGGTCACGAGTGAGTATCAGAGGGGTCGCCAAAGACCATCAGAAAACATAGTATTTTCTGTTGGTCATGGGGGTCTGTGTGGGAAGTTTGGTCCAATTATATTGTTGGGGGTTCAGAATGCTCTTTGATTGTAGGTGAACTATAAATCCCAGCAACTACAACTCCCAAATGTCAAGGTCTATTTCCCCAAACTCCACCAGTGTTCACATTTGGGCATATTGAGTATTCGTGCTAAGTTTGATCCAGATCCAACATTGTTTGAATCCATAGTGCTCTCTGGATGTAGGTGAACTACAACTCCAAAACTCAAGGTCAATGCCCACCAAACCTTTCCAGTATTTTCTGTTGCATGAGAGTTCTGTGTGCCAAGTTTGGTTCAATTCCATCATTGGTGGAGTTCAGAATGCTCTTTGATTGTAAGTAAGCTATAAATCCCAGCAACTACAACTCCCAAATGACAAAATCACCCCACCCCACCAGTATTCAAATTTGGGCGTATTGGGTATTTGTGCCAAATTTGGTCCAGTGAATGAAAATACATCCTGCATATCAGATATTTGCATTACGATTCGTAACAGCAGCAAAATTACAATTATGAAGCAGCAACAAAAGTAATGTTATTTTGGGGGGTCACCACAACATAAGGAACTGCATTAAGGGGTTGCGACATTAGGAAACTTGAGAACCACTACCTTAGGGGGAGAAAAGCGGTATATGAATGTAGTACGTAAATAAATAAAACAGATCTTTAGCACTATGGCAATAGAGATGTTTGAAATCCCGATGCTTTGCTAGTAGCCTGATTGTGTTGTCATTGAATGAAAATGTATGGATCTTTCATTCTCGAGAGCAGCTCTGCATCTACTAAATCAGGGGTCCTCAAACTACAACCCGTGGGCCAGATACGGCCCTCCAAGGTCATATACCCGGCCCTCGGTCATGGTCAACCTAAGTCTGAAACGACTTGAAAGCACACAACAACAACAATTTTACGTCATCAGACAAAAGCAGGCCAACACTCCCATTGAAATACTAATAAGTTTATATTTGTTTACATTGTTCTTCATTTTATTTGTTGTGTTGTTTTAAGTGGGTTTTTTTTTTTGCACTACAAATAATATATGTGCAAAGCATAGGTTATTTTAATGTATTGTCGAAGGCTTTCATGGCAGGAATCACTGGGTTGTTGTAGGTTTTTTCGGGCTATATGGCCATGTTCTAGAGGCATTTTCTCCTGACGTTTCGCCTGCATCTATGGCAAGCATCCTCAGAGGTAGTGAGGTCTGTTGGAAGTAGGAAAAATGGGTTTATATATCTGTGGAATGACCAGGGTGGGACAAAGGACTTTTGTCTGCTGGGGCTAGCTGTGAATGTTTCAGCTGATCACCTTGATTAGCATTCAATGGCTTGGAAGTGCCTGGGGGGAATCTTTTGTTGAGAGGCTACCAGTATTAAAAAACTCAAAAATTACAGCAGCAAAACAACAGAGGGGAAACAAATCAGGCACCATAATCACCTCTCAACAAAAGATTGCTCCATGCACTTGAAAAACAATAAATGATGCGATCAAGGCAACCACTGATCACATAGGGAAGCTGATGAGGAAACACAACATACAAACTATATCTACAGACCCACTAAGAAAATCCAACAAATGCTACGTTCAGCAAAGGACAAGAGGGATCCTCTCACCTCTGCAGGAGTCTACCGTATACCATGCAGCTGTGGACAAGTCTACATAGGGGCCACCAAACGCAGCGCCCAGACACGCATCAAGGAACATGAAAGGCACTGCAGACTACTTCAACCAGAGAAGTCAGCCATAGCAGAGCACCTGATGAACCAGCCTGGACACAGCATATTATTTGAGAACACAGAAGTGCTGGACCACTCTCACAACCACCATGTCAGACTACACAGAGAAGCCATTGAAATTCACAAGCATGTGGACAATTTCAACAGAAAGGAAGAAACCATGAAAATGAACAAAATCTGGCTACCAGTATTAAAAAACTCAAAAATTACAACAGCAAAACAACAGAGGGGAAACAAACAGGCACATAAAATCACTCTCAACAAAGATTCCCCCAGGCACTTCCAAGCCATTAAATGCTAATCAAGGTGGTCAGTTGAAACATTCACACCTAGCTCCAGCAGAAAAAAGTCCTTTGTCCCACCCTGGTCATTCCACAGCATATAAACCCATTTTTCCTACTTCCAACAGACCTCACTACCTCTGAGGATGCTTGCCATAGATGCAGGCGAAACGTCAGGAGAAAAATTGCCTCCAGAACATGGCCATATAGCCCGGAAAAACCTACAACAACCCAATTCATTCGTTGTTGTTTTTTTTTCAAATTATCATCTGGCCCTCCAACAGTTTGAGGGACTGTGACCTGGCCCTCTGTTTAAAAAGTTTGTGGACCCCTGTAGTAAATAATCAACATTATTTCAGAACTGCGGCTCTTCCACATCCTTTGTTTTGCTTTAACGAGCATTTTGGCTGTAGAGAGCAAACACCGAAGCACTTGAGCATCATTCTAAACCCTTTGAAGAGTCTTTGTCGTTTCTGCCTCCAAGGGCTCCTGCCTGCGTGACCCGTATATCGTAATCCCGCTCCCTCTCTTTGCTTCTGTCGTGTGTCGCTGGCCTGCAGGAAAAAGAAGGGGTGCAGTGGGAGCCCAAGGAGGAAGAGGATGAATATGAAGGGGAGATGGACGATGCCGAGAAGGAGGAGGAGGACGACCACATGGAGTACTGCCGGGTCTGTAAGGACGGTGGCGAACTCTTGTGCTGCGACGCTTGCATCTCCTCCTACCACATCCACTGTCTCAACCCACCGCTTCCCGAGATCCCTAACGGGGAATGGCTGTGTCCTCGCTGCACGGTGAGGCCGCATGGATGGAAGGGGGTGGTCGGGCTGCAAGGGAGAGTATTATAAAGGCCTTCACTGAGTCCATAAAGAATGGGTTCCTAGGGTGAGAGGCTTTGGCACAGTGGTTCTCAACCTGTGAGTCCCCAGATGTTTTGGCCTTCAACTCCCAGAAATCCTAAAAGCTGGGATTTCTGGGAGTTGCAGACCTAAACACCCACAGGTTGAGAACCACTGCTTTACCACATGGGTTGGCTTCTTGACTACATGACAGCTTTGTCTTTCCATTCCCAGTGTCCCATGCTGAAGGGCCGCGTACAGAAAATCCTCCACTGGCGATGGGGGGAGCCTCCAATGGCAGTTGCTCTGCCCCCGCCGCCTGAGGACAACCCAGAGGAGCCTCCTCCCAAGGCGATGCAAGGGCGCTCGGAGCGCGAGTTCTTCGTCAAGTGGTGCGGACTGTCCTATTGGCACTGCTCCTGGATAAAGGAGTTGCAGGTACGACCCTGATGAAAAGTGATGTGACATTGAGGCTCTGTCTCTGAAGGCTATGTCTACTGTCAAGGTCTCCTTTCCTCACTGAACTGTCTCAGTGGTGGTCATATTAGTGAATAGTCAGAATTTAGAACATTTGAGCTAGAGGTTTAGCACAGCTGGTAAATCATCAGCAATTATAAGATCTATCAACCAAAAGGTTGCAAGTTCGAAGCCCTGGGTTGGCGTGAGCTGCCAACTGTCAGCCTAGCTCATTGTTTACCTAAGCAATTCAAAAACAGCTTTATCTGTGATTAGAGAAATTAGGTACCCCTAAAAGCGGGGGAGGTGTTTTATGATGCCATAAAAGAAAACAGATCAGAAAATGCTGGACAACCAAAAGGAAAGAGGGAGTCCTGATGGCTCTTTGTTATAGAGGATAGAGCAACAGCAGCCCCTAGACTTGAGCCCAACTTTCCATGATCAAAAACAGCGGGACACTGAGTCAAAACGAATCAATTCCTTCTGTTCTCTCTGTGTATTGTCTATATAAAGCAGCATTGGATGTTTGCCGTGTATGTGTACTGTGATCCGCCCTGAGTCCCCTTCGGGGTAAGAAGGGCGGAATATAAATAAAGTGTTGTTGTTGTTGTTGTTGTTGTTGTTAACACAACAAGATGAGTTCACAGTAGACACTCAGCTGGCTGTTGCATTGGATCACACGTTGGACACTTCCCAAGTGTCTAGGACTGTGTGATGTATTGGTGAATAATGCGTGCAGATCGCAGTAAGGTGGCCTTTTGCAGCTGGCAGATGGTCATTTTGTCAGCTCCGATTGTGTTTAAGTGCAGGCCAAGGTCTTTAGGCACTGCACCCAGGGTGCTGATCACCACTGGGACCACCTTTACTGGCTTGTGCCAGAGTCTTTGCAGTTCAATCTTTACATCCTTGTTTATTATTATTATTATTATTATTATTATTATTATTATTATTATTAGAAATACAATAAGATACGTCCATAGCAGACACTCTGCTGGCTGTTGAATTGGGTCACACGTCAGATTCTTCCCAAGTGTCTAGAACTGTGTGATGTATCGGTGGATAATGCATGCAGATTCCAGTAAGGTGGCCTTCTGCAGCTGGCAGATGGTCATTTTGTCAGCACCGATTGTATTTAAGTGCAGGTCAAGGTCTTTAGGCACTGCACCCAGTGTGCCAATCACCACTGGGACCACCTTGACTGGCTTTTGCCAGAGTATTTGTAATTCGATCTTTAAATCCTCATATTGTGTCAACTTTTCCAGTTGTTTCTCTTCAATAATAATAATAATAATAATAATAATAATAATAATTGTGCCTTTTATTCCCATTGAATCCTAGCTCGAGATCTTCCACCTGGTGATGTACAGGAATTACCAACGAAAGAATGACATGGATGAGCCTCCGCCACTGGACTACGGCTCTGGCGACGATGACGGCAAGAGCGAGAAGAGGAAGATCAAGGACCCTCTGTATGCCGAGATGGAGGAGAAGTACTACCGCTACGGCATCAAGCCTGACTGGATGACCGTCCATCGCATCATCAACCACAGGTCAGCTTGTGTCTCTCTGTGTGTGGCGGAGAGAGAGTTAGTATTTCTTGCCACATTGCCTCCTAACCCTAGCAATGACCCAACCCTTGTTAGTGTGTTGTTAAACCCTTTGAGATCCACGCATCTTTTGGAAATATTGTGATCCCAGCATTCATTGTTGTAAATCTTGTGTACAACAATCAGTGGTTAATGGTCCAGCTAGAGACAGTTGTGTGAGTTGGCAGCATAGCAGCTGTTGTGTTTTTTGTTTTGGCTTGTTTGGAAAGCAAAGCATCAATTATGACTGTGGAGAATGGCATGGAGTCAGGCACCAGATTTCCCAAATGTGTTTCCCCAAGAGAATATCTTCCCTGCTGCTCCCGTTCTCCCCCCCCCCCAAACTCCTTTCTTATGACTTGAAACTCTTCTTTCTTTTTTTCTTGTTGTGTTTGAGGTCCAGACTTTCTCTGTGGCATAGGCCTTGATCCACTGTAGCCTTTAATGACTTGAGCGGCTGCCTTGCAGTTGCATGGCTATTATTGCTATGAAAGGGAGTTAGCAAACCCTCCTCGTGTCTTCTTAAAATTAAAATTAATTAATTAAATTCATTAAATTTATTTAATTAATAAAATTAATTAATTAAGAAATTAAAACAGCTTTCTCCCTTTCTTCTTACAAGAAACAATTAAAGACTTGTGCACCAGTTACTCCTGTACCTTGAGAAGTCAGACTTGGTAGTCCATGCTCTGGTTACATCCCATATAGACTACTGCAACGTGCTCTACATGGGGTTGCCTTTGAAGACTGCTTGAACTTCAATAGGTCCAATGGGCAGCAGCTAGGGTACAGGGAGCATACAACCCCCCTGTTACATCAGCTCCACTGGCTGCCAGTCTGCTACTGAGAACAATTCAAAGTGCTGGATTTAATCTGTAAAGCCCTTAATGGTTCTGGCCCAGCTTACCTGTCCGAACGTATCTCCCTCTATGAACCATCATGGAGGTTAAGATCTTCTGGGGAGGCCCTGCTCTCGGTCCCACCCCTGTCGCGACTGCAGTTGGCAGGGACTAATTTATTTATTTATTTATTATTTACCTTACTTATATACCGCTGTTCTCAGCCCGAAGGCGACTCACAGCGGTTCACAACAAATACGAACAGCAAAAATTCAGTGCTACAGTATAAAAAACAGTTAACAACCTAACACATTACACAATAAACAGTTATTACAATACCCATTCACTGTCGTCTCATCATCAAAAACATGTTCCAGATTCGTCATCCATTGTTCCATTCCAGTGTTCATTAACCAATCATTGCACTAATTATTCGAACAGCCAGGTCTTCACTTTTTTGCGGAATACCATTAGAGATGGTGCTAGTCTAATGTCCGTGGGAAGGGCGTTCCACAGCCGAGGAGCCACCACCGAGAAGGCCCTATTTCTCGTCCCCGCCAGCCGTGCTTGAGAAGCAGGCGGGATCGAGAGCAGGGCCTCCCCGGAAGATCTCAAAGTCCTGGTGGGTTCATAGGCAGAGATGCGGTCAGATAGGTAGCTTGGGCCGGAACCGTTTAGGGCTTTAAAGGCCAACGCCAGCACTTTGAATTGAGCCCGGTAGCAGATCGGTAGCCAGTGGAGTTGGCGCAACAGGGGGGTTGTATGCTCCCTGCGCTCCGCTCCTGTTAAAATCATGGCTGCCGAGCGTTGGACTAGCTGGAGCTTCCGAGCTGTCTTCAAAGGCAACCCCATGTAGAGAGCGTTGCAGTAGTCTAAACGGGATGTAACCAGAGCGTGGACTACCGTGGCCAAGTCAGACTTCCCAAGGTACGGGCGCAGCTGGCGCACAAGCTTTAGCTGTGCAAATGCTCCCCTGGTCACCGCCGAAACCTGGGGTTCCAGGCTCAGCGATGAGTCCAGGGTCACACCCAACTGCGAACCTGCGTCTTCAGGGGGAGTGCGACCCCATCCAGCACAGGCTGTAACCCTATGCCCTGTTCGGCCTTGCGACTGACCAGGAGTACCTCTGTCTTGTCTGGATTCAATTTCAATTTGTTCGCCCTCATCCAGACCGTCACAGCAGCCAAGCACCGGTTCAGGACCTGGACAGCCTCCTTAGTAGCAGGTGGAAAGGAGTGACAGGGTACTCAGTGGCAGCTCCTCGGCCCTGGAACTCTTTCCCCAGTGAGATTGGATCAGCACCATCCCTCCTGGCCTTTAGAAAGAAAACAAAGATATGGTTGTGGATCAAGCCTTTAGCTAATAAATAATGCAGTACAAAAAATAATGAAGGAACATGTGCAATGACAATTTGGAATGGCTAATGTATACAATTTCTGGATCATGGCATTTTAATGTTTATACTAGGATGATTTTATGCTTGTCAGAATCTTTAAATTGTATGCATATCTTATGTTTAATGGTTTTAATCATTGTTATATGTAGTAATTACCGTATTTTCTGGCGTATAAGACTACTTTTTAACCCAAGAAAATCTTCTCAAAGGTCAGGGGGTTGTCTTATACGTGGGAGTAGTATTATAGAGTGGGTGCTGACACTTGTAATCCGGATTGGAGAATCTGTGGTTGCTGCATATGGTGGGGGGAGCTCAAAAATGGCAGTGGCAGCGTCCCTGCCGTACGCAGCGGCTGTATGAAAGCATTAAGGGCAACGCTGTACAAGTATGGTAGAAGAAAATCCATTCATCAGGATTCTTGGACTTAATGCGGTCCTGATGGTGAGGTGAAGGGGCGCCACATCGAGAAGGAGTAAGTGAAGGACGGAGCAAGCTGCAGGCGTCCGGGGCGCCCGGGGTATGGAAAAAAGAGATAGAGTGGCTCTGGGCCCAGAAAAACACACCTCTTTTACCTGTCTGGCCTGCCCTTGTATCCTATTACCGTACCTCCTCCTCTGCCTCTCCTGAAGACTGCAGTGAAGTGGTACAGGCGTGCATGTGCGAGATCTGAGAGGCAGAGAAGGAGGGACAGTAATAGGAAAATTACCAGATTGAAATCAAATCTGCTGCTTTTAAAAAAAATTATTTGGTGTGTGTTGAAAGAGGGGTAGACTTATACGGCGAGTATATCCCAAACTCTATATTTTAACTGGAAAAGTTGAGGGTTGTCTTATACGCCCAGTCTTATATGCCGGAAAATACGGTAGTTACGATTTCCTTGTGTACTTTATGCTAGCATTGTATTTTTGCCATTAGTATGTTGCAAATCGCCTTGAGTCCTCCCAGGGGTGAGAAAGGCTGTTTATAAGGACAATAAATAAAAATAAATACTTTCCTGTTTAGACAGGCCTTTAATGAAGGAAACTAAGCTGGAGTGATAAGAAACAACATAATATGATAGACTGGAACAAAGTGCAATATAAGCAGACATGGTGCCAGAAGAATGTGAATATATACTACTGTTGTTTTAAACTGCTTATTTTATAATGTTTTATGTTTATTATCAACGTTTATGGATTGTTGTTTACATGATTTTAATATGTTGTAAGCTGCTTTCGGTCCAGTGAGGGAGAAAAGTGGGATATAAATAAATATTTTATTATTATTATTATTACTCTGTTTACTTTCTGGTACTTTCTTCTTTTTTTTCGTCCTGAAGCATTGACAAAAAGGGCAACTATCACTACTTGGTGAAATGGCGTGACCTTTCCTATGACCAGTCCACCTGGGAGGAGGATGAGATGCCAATTCCCGACTATGAGTACCACAAACAGGCCTACTGGTTCCATAGGTAAGAAGGTCCTTCAGCTTCACTGATGTCTTGGGAACTAGGATGGAGACTCACAGGCTCTTGTGCCCTATAGCCATGCCAGGCTTATGTTTCATAGGTGAAACATCAGAGAGGTCTTTCTTTTCTTTAGGGAGCTGATTATGGGCGAAGACCCTGCCCAGCCCAGGAAGTACAAGAAGAAGAAAAAGGAACTAACATCGGAGGACCCTCCTAACTCTCCCACAAATGATGTAAGCTCTGTGGAAGCTGTGGAGTGACTCTTCTGCCACTTGATATTATTATTTATTTATTTATTTATTTACAACATTTATATGCCGCCCTTCTCACCCCGAAGGGGACCCTTCTTTCTTCCCTCTGTGTTTCTTTTCTCACGCTTTGGTTCCATCCTTCCTTGTTTCCTTCCTTCCTTCCCTCTTTCTCTCTTTCGTTCCTTCTCTCCTTTCTTCAATCTCTCTCTTTCCTTCCTTCCTTTAACTATTTAATTTCTTTCCCTCCTTCTCTACCTTTCTTTCTTTCTTTCTTTCTTTCTTTCTTTCTTTCCTTCCTTCTCTCCTTCTTTCCCTCTTTTTCTCTCTCCTTCTCTCCTTCCTTCCTTCATCCTTTTTGTGTGTGTTTTGTGTGTGTATATATGCATATATGTGTGTATATATTTGTATATATGTGTGTTTGCATATATATATATATATATATATATATGTGGCTTTACACATGCGTTTGCATATATGTGTGTATATATTTGTGTATATGTGTATATATGTGTGTTTGTGTGTGCGTGTATATATATATATGGCTTATATTTGTATATATTTGTATAGATGTGTGTTTGCGTATATATATGTGGCTTTGTGCATGCGTTTGCATATGTGTGTATATATATGTGTATATCTGTATATATGTGTGTTTGTGTATGTGTGTATATATATATATGGCGTATATTTGTATATATTTGTATATATGTATGTTTGCGTATATATATGTGGCTTTATGCAAGCATTTGCATATATGTGTGTATATATTTGTGTATATGTGTATATATGTGTATGTGTGTATATATATATGGCTTATATTTGTATATATTTGTATATATGTGTGTTTGCATATATATATGTGGCTTTGCGCATGTGTTTGCATATATGTGTGTATATATATGTGTATATGTGTATATATGTGTTTTTGTACATATATATATGGCTTTGCGCATGCGTTGTAATGTATTTTATGTTTTTTGACTTTTTAAGCCTCTTCTGCCACGTTCTTCAGTATTTTTATGAGTAATGGTCACTTGTTGGCCTGATGCGTCTATTGTGTCCAAATTGGGTGTCAATTCGTCCAGTGGTTTTTGAGTTATGTTCATCCCACCAACTAACATTACATTTTTATTTATATAGATTATTAGTAATTTTACCTGTAATATAAAATATATAATTATAATATTATTATTATTATTTGTAGTAGTATTATATTGTATTACATTATAATATTATAAATATTATATGTATATACAATATATTATATTACATTATATATTATATTATATTATATTATATTATTATATTATATATTATATTATATTATATTATATTATATTATATTATATATATTATATATTATATTATTATTATTAGAATAGCACAGGAGACAAGGTGGAACTGTCCCCTGGCCCCCTCTCTCTTCACTCTGGCCCAGAGCAGCAGTTGATGCTGGGGAAGGGTCCCCAACTGATTACATATGGGGCAGGAATGGTGTAGATTTAGCTTTCCATAAACAGGAAAACTGGGGGTATGGAGAGGTGCAAGTTCCCATGTACCTGGTAGGCCTGCATTTTACCAAAAATGGATTAGGTTTTTAAATGTTATTGTGTTATTGTTGATGTTTACTTCCTATTTTTGTTTATGAGTTTTATTTTATTGTTTGTATTACTGTTGTTTTTTGCTGATGTATTGTGGGCTCGGCCTCATGTAAGCCACACTGAGTCCCTTGGGGAGATGGTAGCGGGGTACAAATAAAGTATTATTATTATTATTATTATTATTATTATTATTATTAGGGCCTGGGAAGTGATGGAGTCGGGGTCTGTTCCATGTGTTGCTTGCTACGGCTTTAACTCTCTCCTTTGCAGCCAACCGTGAAGTATGACAGCCAGCCCCGCTTCATCACGTCCACGGGGGGCACGCTACACATGTATCAGCTGGAAGGCCTCAACTGGCTGCGGTTCTCTTGGGCCCAGAGCACAGACACCATCCTGGCTGACGAGATGGGCCTCGGCAAGACCATCCAGACCATTGTCTTTCTGTACTCACTCTACCGGGAGGTGAGGCGGGAACAGCGCTTCTGGGGAAATCCAAGGGATGCACACCTGGGAAATGGGGCGGGGCCAGGTTTCCCAGGTACATTTGCTTTCAAAGCTGTGTTGGCTGCAGGAAGGCCAGGGGTCTCCTGTTGTAATTCAACCCCACATTGACCAAGTCCTCAACGAGGAGCAGTTAGTTAGTTTAGTATAGAGCAGACATGAGCAAACTTGGCCCCTCCAGATGTTTTGGACTCCAACTCCCACAATTCCTAACAGCCAGTAGGCTGTTAGGAATTGTGGGAGTTGGAGTCCAAAACACCTGGAGGGGCCAAGTTTGCCCATGTCTGATATAGAGTGACTATTGGAGAGATGCAGTGATTGAGTTTTTCCCTCTCTTGAAACCTTAGAAGAGATGGGTGTTAGAGTAGCTCAGACCCACTTTTAAAATTAAGAAATGCAGTTAATGCGTATTATTGTAAACAAACATTTTGTGGGTTGTTGTGAGTTTTCTGGGCTGTATGGCCATGTTCCAGAAGCATTCTCTCCTGACATTTTGCCTACAGAGATTGGGTTTTTCCCTCTCTTGAAACCTTAGAAGAGATGGGTGTTAGATTAGTTCTTGATTATTAATGCAGTTAATGCTTATTATTGTAAACAAACCTTTTGTGAGTTGTGAATTTTTTGGGTTGTATGTCCATGTTCCAGAAGCATTCTCTCTTGACGTTTTGCTTGCATCTATGGCAGGCATCAGGGGAATTCCAGACAAGAAACAATAGGAGCCAGCGAATCACCTCCCAACAAAGGATTCCCCCGGGCAGTAAGAAGCCAGATCTTGAAACTGCTCGGCCATTAAATGCTGATCAAGGTGGCCAGTTGCAACATTCACTCTTACCTCCAATAGACAAGAGTTATTTCTCCCACCCTGGACATTCCATAGATTTATTTATTTTTGTCGTGTCAGGAGCGACTTGAGAAACTGCAAGTCACTTCTGGTGTGAGAGAATTGGCCGTCTGCAAGGACGTTGCCCAGGGGACGCCTGGATGTTTTTTGATGTTTTGCAAATGTATCTAAATTAACTCAATGTATACATACAAATACAAATGTCAATAAAACATAGGGTTGTAACAAACATAGGATATGTATGCATTGAGTTAATTTAGATACATTTGCATTACTGCTATTAGTGGATTTTGGTCTCTTCAGTTCCAAGGGAAACTTTTTTTTCTTTTCTGCTTTTGATGTTTTACCATCCTTGTGGGAGGCTTCCCTCATATTCCTGCATGAGGAGCTGGAGCTGACAGAGGGAGCTCATCCACGCTCTCCCCAGATTCAGACCTGCAACTTGTCGGTCTTCAATCCTGCCGTCACAGGGGATTAACACAGATATATAGTATAAACCTTCCGTCACAGGGGATTAACACAGATATATAGTATAAACTTGCCGTCACAGGGGATTAACACAGAGATATATAGTATAAACCAGAAGCCCCCGGTGGTTCAGTGGGTTAAAGCACTGAGCTGATCGAAAGGTTGCAGGTTCGATTCCGGGGAGCGGCGTGAGCTTCCGCTGTCAGCCCTAGCTTCTGCCAACCTAGCAATTCGAAAACATGCAAATGTGAGTAGATCAATAGGTACCGCTCCGGCGGGAAGGTAACGGCGCTCCATGCAGTCATGCCGGCCACATGACCTTGGAGGTGTCTATGGACAACGCTGGATCTTTGGCTTAGAAATGGAGATGAGCACCACACCCCAGAGTCAGACATGACTGGACTTAATGTCAGGGGACTACCTTTACCTTTACCTTATAGTATAAACCCCATTTTCCCTAGTTTCAAACAGACCTCATAGATGTGGGCAAAACGTCAGGAGAGAATGCTTCCGGAATATGGCCAGACAGCCCGGAAAACTCACAAGAACCCTGTGATTCCGGCCATGAAAGCCTTTGACAATACCAACCTTTTGTGATATTTTAAAGATTGGACTCTGCATGTTTGCCTCCTAAGCTTGACAGCCACATCATATGGTACTTCGCGCTCTGCTCGCTAATGAGCGGATGCTCAACTTTTGTATCCTGTTTGTTTGTGGATGCTCTGCTGTATATTTCAGGGTAGTTTCCCCTGTCGTCTCCTGCAACATCAGTGCTTCCCTCCGCCTGGCCTGTGTGATGTGTCTGCCCTTTTGGACAGTGGCTGTGCTGCGTCTGTGTCGCGTACTCGGCCTAGCGCAGCGCTGGGTCTTTTTAATGAATGTTTGCTGGGAGCAGTGCGCCCGCCCCAGGCCAAGGGTCCTTCTGCGAACAGCTGTTCCTTCTGTATGAACAGCTGCTGTGGCTGGCGGTGTGTCAGGGATCCCAGCAGAGCCAAGGGAGAGCCGCGCACACTCGCTCGCTCGTTCTGGCAGCCGGGCTTTTATGAATGGATGTCTCTTTGCCTCGATGAGCCCCTGGGAGCCAAAAGCAAAGAGCCTGAGAATTGCTGCATCAGGCTGAGTCACGGCGGCGCACGGAGAGTTCCTTCCAATGCTTAGGCGTCCTCCTTTTCTCTCTCCCCCACCCCCAGGGCCACACCAAGGGGCCATTCCTGGTCAGCGCTCCCCTCTCCACCATCATCAACTGGGAACGGGAGTTTCAGATGTGGGCCCCCAATTTCTACGTGGTGACCTACACGGGGGACAAGGACAGCCGCTCCATCATCCGGGAGCACGAGTTCTCCTTCGAGGACAACGCCATGAAAGGCGGGAAGAAGGCCTTCAAGATGAAGGCAAGTGGGTCAGGAAACACAGAAGCTGCACGGGCAGCATTGCACTCTGACACTTGCCTCGTATGTTTTGACTGTGTCTGGCCTTGAGGTGAAAGGCAGACTGTGAACCCCTTCAATTCCAGATTGCCAGCTTGCCTTAAAATGCATAATAATAATAATCATCATCATCATCTTTATTTATACCCCGCCACCATCTCCCCAACAGAGCCGGGAGTGGCTTACATGGGGCCAAGCCCGGACAACATATTTATTTATTTATTTTTATTTATTTACAGTATTTCTATACTGCTTTTCTCACCCCTCGGGGGACTCAAAGCGGTTTACACATAACTGACAAAACTTCAATGCCATACATTGGACACTGACGCGATGCCAAACCATAACAACCACAATAATAAAACCACAATAAAACATAAATCATAATTAGACAGTACATAAGCAATCATTAAAACAATAAATAAAAACAGTCTCGCCAGTCGTATTGTCATTCTAGTCCATGTCCTTTAAACTCTACAAACATCTACTGTCCGAAGGCCTGGTCCCAAAGCCATGATTTTAATTTCTTTCTAAAAGCCAGGAGGGAGGGAGCAGATCTTACCTCATTTGGGAGTGTGTTCCATAGGCGAGGGGCCACCACCGAGAAGGCCCTGTCTCTCGTCCCCGCCAGATGCATTTGTGCAATTGATGGGAGCAAGAGCAGGGCCTCCCCGGATGATCTTAGATTACGAGATGGGACGTAGAGGTGGATGCGTTCAGACAAGTAGGCTGGGCTGGAACTGTATAGAGCTTTATATGTCAAAACCAGCACATTACAACATATTACAGTTTTTAAAATGTAATTTGATGCTACTGCTTGTTGCTTATGAATTGTTGTAATATGTTGTTTATTTTTGCTGTAATATGTTGTCTGGGCTTGGCCCCATGTAAGCCGCTCCGAGTCCCTGTTGGGGAGATGGTGGCAGGGTATAAATAAAGATTATTATTATTATTATTATTATTATTATTATTATTATTAGATGGAGCTGATGGTGACTCAACTTCTCTCTCTCCTTCTCCCTTTGTGTTTTCAGAGAGAAGCCCAGGTGAAGTTCCACGTCCTTCTGACCTCGTATGAACTGGTCACCATTGACCAGGCTGCCTTGGCCTCCATCCGATGGGCCTGCCTTGTGGTGGATGAAGCTCACCGGCTCAAAAACAACCAGTCTAAGGTGAGAAGAGTTTGACTGTGGTAAATCAGCCTGTGGGGTACTTCTGCTTGGTTGTGGCATGTGGGCGTAACAGTCAAAGCAAGGTTCCCTTTCCTTGATGTCCATGCTGTTCTCGCTTTCAGTTTTTCAGGGTGTTAAATGGCTATAAGATCGACCACAAGCTGCTGCTCACGGGGACGCCCTTGCAAAACAACCTGGAGGAGCTCTTCCACCTGCTGAATTTCCTGACTCCAGAGAGATTCAAGTACGGCCAATCTGTGCGCTGTTGATACCCCTTGCCCTGCAGTCCTGTTAGTTATAGGGCTAGAGATGCTGCCCATCCCCTCTAGAGAGATTTCCCATTTGTCAGGTGTCTTCTCACGCCAACTGATCAGATTTAAGTCAGTGTACAGGTTTCACACGCAGCTAGGTATCTGTGGAGAGGTGACGGTGTGAAAGAAATAGCAAGTGGCACCTCTCCAGACAGTGTCTGCTTAGTTGTCCCCTGTCTCAAAGACTTTCTCCACAGTCACTTGGTTTTTCCTAACCTCATAAGGCCCGTTGCCTAACAGTCAATTGCAAAATGTCAAGGGAGCCTACAGAAGCCATCTGTCTCACCTGACAAGGCAGCACCCGCATCCCCGGGTGTCTAGAAAACCTGTTCAGCGTCTGAAAGTTTATCTCTGAAAGGAGGTCTCCCTCTGCTGGCCCAGCATGTGCATGGACACCATTCTGGCAGCTTGGTCATCCCAGGCCACCCTTGATTTGGCCATTGGTGGTCTTCCAGTGTTTTGGTTGCTGTCAGAGGTGAACTGATGAAGATTAGTAACTCTTCCCTTCCACCGGTGAAGAGAAAACATAACAGAGGTTTCAAGCTTGGGGCTTGTTTGGGGAGAAATAGGTCACCTTTTCATTTTTCATCTTGGGTTCCACTGAGGTTGTTCACCTGCTCTTGTCTGTCCAAGTGAAACTAAAAGGGGGAATGTCCTCTTTTTTATCTTTCACTTGCTTAGCTGATCAAAGAAGATGGTGGTTGTGGGGTTTATACTGAGCAAGGAAGGAATTCTAAATCTCCAAATTAGTTTTTCCTGACATATCTCAAGAATCTGCCAAGGAGGCCAGGAGAAAGGAGATAGATTTCCTTAGGAATTATTACCCCCACATTGAATGTGTTTACTTTAGATTATTCATTCTGAAGTCACAGATTCGAAGTCTGGGGGTGATCCTGGACACATCGCTGACTCTGGAACCCCAGGTGTTGGCGGTGGCCAGGAGCACTGCGCCTGTACCTTGAGACACCAGATCTGGCCATGATTGTCCTTAGTCATATCCTGCTTGGATTACTGCAACATTCTCTATGTGGGGCTGCCTTTGGAGAAAGTTTGGAAGCTTCCGTTATTTCAGAGATCGGCAGGCAGGTTACTAACTGGAGCACCATACAGGGAGCAGACAATTCCCATGTTACGGCAGCTCCACTAGCTATTTTCTACTTCCGGGCAAAATACAAAGTGCTGGTTATTACCTATAAAACCCTAAATGGTTTGGGCCCAATCTATTTAACTACTTGCATCTTCTATATAAATAAAAATGTAATATTCGTTTGTGGGATTAACATAACTCAAAAACCACTGGACGAATTGACACCAAATTTGGACAGCATACACCTAACAACCCAATGTATGTCCTTCACTCAAAAATTGATTTTGTCATTTGGGAGTTGTAGTTGTCTGGGATTTATAGTTTACTTACAATCAAAGATCGTTCTGAACTCCACCAATGATGGAATTGAACCAAACGTGGAACACAGGACTCCCATGACCAACAGAAAACACTAGAAGGGTTTGGTGGGCATTGACCTTGAGTTTGGGAGTTGTAGTTCACCTACATCCAGAGAGCACTGTGGACTCAAACAATGATGGATCTGGACCAAACTTGGCACAAATATTCCATATGCCCAAAATGAACACAGATGGAGTTTGGGGAAATAGACCTTCACATTTGGGAGTTGTAGTTGCTGGGATTTATAGTTCACCTACAATCAAAGAGCATTCTGAACCCCCCAAACGATAGAATTGGAGAAAACTTCCCACACAGAACCCCCATGACCAACAGAAAATCCTTAAGGCCATCCAGTCCAACTCCCTTCACCAGGGCAAGAAAATGTAATCAAAGCCCTCCTGACAAAGAGCCATCCAGCCATAGATATATATGATATATATGATATGATATAACACACAGAGATATAGTATCTAGATTTGAAAGAACAATAATATGTTGCAAACCAGACAATCTCCACATCAATACTGACAAAGAAACAGCAAGAAATACTGTTTACCCACAAGCATAAAGAAATTACATATATTAGAAACCAACACTTTCTAATTATTTTTTAGATCAGCAGACTGGGCCACAGCAACGCATGGCAGGGGATGGCTAGTCTTCTCATATAAACCAACATGGGCACTGCAGTCAGCGGAGGAGGCTCTGCTCCCGGTCCCACCCCATCACAAGCGTGGCTGGTGGGAACGAAAGAGAGGGCCTTCTCCGTGATTGGCTCCCACCTCTGGAACTCCCTCCCCAAAGAAGTAAAAATTGCCCCCTTTAGAAAACTCCTCTGAAGACTCATCTGTGCCCTTTAGCTTACGGCAGTGGTTTTCAACCTATGGGTCCCCAGATGTTTTGGCTGTCAATTCTCAGAAATCCTAACAGCTGGTAAACTGGGTGGGATTTCTGGGAGTTGTAGGCCAAAACACCTGAGAATCCACAGTTTGAGAACCACTGGCTTACGGAGAGGAGGAGGATTAGTATATCTTAATTATATAACCTCAGTTGAGCACTGGAAATCTGCTTGGATGCAGCTCAACTGTTGTATATCACAATTTAAACTATTTTAAACAACCCCACACATCATCATTTTATACCTCCAGTGCACTTTAACTACTCAGACTCTTTTATTATGTAAATGTGTGTGATGAGATTTATTTGTTTTAATTGCTCTTTTGTTGTTATTTAAGTTTATTACTTTATTGATGTTTTATTTTTTGTTGATCTGTTTTGTTTGTTCAATATGTCATTGACTGTCAGTTTTGTTTTGGAAACCGTCCTGAGTCCCCCCGGGAGATAGGGCAGGTTACAAATAAAGGTTGTTGTTGTTGTTGTTGTTCTAATAATCTTTTCTGTAGCCAAGATATCCCCTGCCCCCCAATGTATTGTGTGTAGTATGCTGCTCATTTCAAACATCTAAAGATATCAGCCTTTCTATCTCCTTCTGCAGCAACTTGGAAGGGTTCCTGGAAGAGTTTGCTGACATCTCCAAGGAGGACCAGATTAAGAAGCTCCACGACCTCTTGGGCCCCCACATGTTGCGCCGCCTCAAGGCTGACGTCTTCAAGAACATGCCAGCCAAGACAGAGCTCATTGTCCGAGTGGAGCTGAGCCCCATGCAGAAGTACGGGGCGGGATTGCGGGAGGGAGGTT